TCCAGCAACTTCTGTTTTTGTTCCTGATGTAAATGTAATTTTTTGTTACAGTACACGGCAGAAACCAGCTCCACACCCAAAGAAGGTTGCTGAAGCTCAAAGACCAACTTTCAGTTAACCAAGGTGTCCATTTTGAAGGGTGTGCAGTACTTTTTCTGTCAAACACTCTAATACACTCAATACATGTAATGTTCGAGGCTGAACAGATGAGTTATCAGGTTTACTCGTACTTTGAGCTATGAGAGAATTTATTAGCTCAATGTTAAATAACAACATGTTATGAACAGCTGGTATCAGCACAGAATGCTCTGCTCTATTCAGCAAACAACACAATATTACAGAAAAAAATCTCCGAATAACTAAAAATATCACCAAATGACGACCATGTATGGTTGATAGTTGCATGACTTAATTCACTAGAATCTGTCACAAGTCTATCTCCGAAATAACTCCATGGAGCCCGTATCCTGTCACCAAGTCACCCCATGTTTACACATGCACAGTGCATGGGCTCTGACCAGCTAGCTCAGAGCCAGTCCCTAAAGGGAGGAGAATCCCTGAGACTCCTGTTTATATCTGTCAGCCAGGGCTCCCTGATTGGCCCATGTTCATAGTCCCAATCAGAAAACAAATACTCGATGAGACCTACCTGGCCAACCTCGTTCCAATCACTACAACCCCTAAGAATGAATATAATGTGCTTTCCCTTGCTTCCCTTCAGCAATTGAAAACTTGTTTCATCTGCATAATTGACTGTCTTACGCATGCAAAATTTATTCTATTTCCTTTTCCATAAGTGTTTCAGATTGGGAATTTTTGTACAGTAAAGTCCTGCCATTCGTACCATTGCTGTTAGTAAATTTGCATACCTGCACAAAATATTATATTCACTGTTTTGTAGTCTCCCCTTCTGACATGCTTTGTACAAGGCCAAGATATTCCATCCAAAGCTACCAAGGCGGATTATTTGTCTATTTTTCTTAGCTGACGACGAATTTTCACCATCTAAAGCTTGGCTGCCACGTTTCCTACTTTAAAAGAATGACTACCATTATGAAGCATTTAAAAGCAATTAAATGCCTGAAAATTCCTTTGAGATCATGAAACATGCATATTCCATCAACCTCCCATTGTTTTGCCTTAGCTCATCCCTATCTGCAGAATGGGACCTTTTACCTTTGTAAATTGCTTTCTGTTTTGAATACGAATCACCATATGGGGTCTAATTGTAATTTAAAAGCAACTAGTCTCAAATTATATACCATTTGATAATTTTGTCCTTTTCTAATGGTAACAGGATTGACAATTCTCAAAAACATTTCACAGAATTTTGGGGGTGACATGGTGGCTCAGTGGTTAGCACTGTTGCCTCACAGTGCCAGGGGCCTGGGTTTGATTCCACCCTCAGACAACTGTCTGTGTGGAGTTTGCACGTTCTCCCCAAGCCTGTACGGGTTTCCTTTAAGTACTCCGGTTTCCTCCCACATTCCAAAGATCTACAGGTTAGCTGGATTGGCCATGCTAAATTGCTCATAGTGTTCAGGGATGTGTAAGTTAGGCAGGTTTGGGGAATGGGTCTGGGTGGGATTCTCTGAGGGTTGGTGTGGACTTGTTGGTTTGAAGGGCCTGTTTCCACACTGTAGGGGTGCTATGGAAGAAGACATTTACACCCAACAGACAAGACACTAAACCTATTCATCTAGCCTGAGTCCAAACCATAATTCTGAATTTGAGTTTTGCTACACTTGGCATGTTAACGATGATGTGTGCCGTGATCTTCTGAGTAAATTGACTTCATCTGTTTGTTCCAGCAGACCGTGTTGAGAGTAACATTATCCAGATACCTCTTACATTCAACCTCAGTTTACTGGGTACTAATTGTTTCAATGTTGTGAAGCAATTTCAGCCTGGAATTTCCTGCTTTTAAATTTATTGTGTTTTTGCTGAGGTTTACAGGCATTATGACAGAAATGTGTTTGTGTCTGCATTGACGAGCTGACCCAGTGCCTGTAGTTTACAGGGGTTAGACAATAAGTTAGAGAAGGACATAGGTGGAAACGCATTTTGCTACTGAGAAGGTCAGAGGTTAATGACGGTTCAAGTTGAGAGAGACAAGACAGAAAAGGTTGTACAGAGTTTAACTTTCAATATTGGTGAAAAGTTGTATTTTTGAAAAGCGACAATCAAACCGCAGTCTGGAGGCACTTGATGGTGTTACCATCACTGAATCCTCCAACATCAACTTACTTGGGTTACCACTGATCAGAAACTCAATTGGACTAACACATAAACACAGAGGCTACAAGAGAAAATCAGGAATACTGCAGTGAGTAACTCACCTCTTAACTCCCCAGAGCATGCCCGTCATGTACAAGGCACATGTTGGAGTGTGACAGAATGCTCCCCATTTGCCTGGATTGGGGTACCTTCACCAACACTCAAGAAGCTTGACACCACCCAGGACAAAGCAGCTTGATTGGCATCAAATCCACAAACATCCACTCGCAATTTCACCAATGCTCAGTAGCAGCAATGTGCGCTATCTACAAGATGCATTGCAGAAATTCACTAAAGGTCCTCAGACAGCACCCTCCAAACCACAACCACTTCCATCTAGAAGGACAAGGGCATCACATAAATGGGAACACCACCCCCTGCAAGTTCCACTCTAATTCCCTCACCCTCCTGACTTGGAAATATATCACCTTTCCTTCGCTGTCACTGGATCAAAATCCTGGAATTCCTTCCCTAAGGGCATTTTGAGTCAGCCTACAGCACATGGACTGCAGCAGTTCAAGAAGGCAGCTCACCACCACCTAATCAAGGGCAACTAGGGACGGCCAATAGATGCTGGCCCAGCCAGTTACGGTCATGTCCCATTAATGAATTTTTGAAAAATGGCTGAAGGCATTGGATACTGCAAAGGTTATTGGCCCTGACAATACTCCAGCAATAGTACTGAAAACTTGAGTTCCAAAGTTAGCTGTGCCCCTAGCCAAGCTGTTCTGGTACAGCTACAATACCAAAATCCACCTGACAATATGGACAATTGCCTATGTATGTCATGTTGACAAAAAAACTGGACAAATCTAACCCAGCCAATTACCACCCCATCAGTCTACTCTCAGTCATCAGCCAAGTATTGGCAGGATTTGTTAACAGTGCTATCATTTATTCAACAGCAACTTTCATCACTGAACTCCGCCACCTGCAAATTCCCAAGCAAACTACACACTATCCTAACTTGGAAGTATATTTCTATTTTTTCACTGTCAATACCCTGCAGCTCTATTCCTAACAGCACTGAGGGTATACCCTACACTGAGCACTGCAGTGTTTCAACAAGAGTGTTCACCAGAACTTCTTGGGTGTACTTAGTGATTGCTAATAAATGTTATCCCAGTGATACTCACATGCTATGAATGAACAAAAGAAATAAAAACTATAATTGCCAGGTGGCTCTCTGAGGTAGAAGTTGCTTTGAGTGAGCAGGATGTTGTACATTCACTTACAGCCATCAAGTCATAGAGCTCTACGACATGGAAACAGACTCTTCGGTCCAACTCATCCACGCCGATCACATATCCTAAATTAATCTCATCCCATTTGCCAGCATTTGGACCACATCCTTCTAAACCCTTCCTATTCATGTACTCATCCGGATGCCTTTTAAATGTTGTAATTGTACCAGCCTCCACCACTTCTTCTGGCAGTTCGTTCCATAGTCGCACCACCCATCTGCGTGAAAAAGTTGCCCCTCAGGTCCCTTATAAATCCTGCCCCTCTCATCTTAAACCTATGCCGTCTAGTTTTGGACTCCCCTACCCTCGGAAAAAGGCCTTGGCTGATCACCCTATTCATGCCCCTCATGATTTTATAAACCTCTATAAGGTCACCTTTCAGCCTCCGACACTCCAGGGAAAAAATGCCTCAGCGTATTCAGCTTCTCCCAGTAGCTCAAACCCTCCAATCCTGGCAACAACCCTTGTAAATTTTTTCTGAACTCTTTCATGTTTCACAACATCTTTCGAACAGCAGTGGGACCAGAATTGAACACTGTACTCCAATAGTGGTGTGATTAATGTCTTGTACAGCCATAGCATGACTTCCCAACTCCTATACTCAATGAAAACCAAAAAAACTGAGGATGCTGT